GGGGCTGGATTTGAACCCACCACCTTAGGTGTATGTGGCTGGTGCCTTAGTCACTTGAGCCACAGGCGCCGAGCCAGAACTATTGCTTTTAATCTAGACTCTGACTTTCTATGAATACTTTCTGTTAGAATAAAGAATCGTACTGAGGACAGGAGTTGGAGACCAGCCTGAGCAACATAGTGAGAACTCATCTCTACAAAAACTAGAAAATTTACGAGGTGTGGTGGCAGGTGTATGTAGTCCCAGCTACTTGAGAGACTGAGGCAGGGGGATCCTTGAGCCCAGGAGTTGAGGTTGCTGTGAGTTTTGATAACGCCATTGTACTCAAGCCTAGGCAACAGAGTGAGACCCTATCTCTAAATGAGAGAGAGAGAATTGTATTCAAAATTAATGAGGGATCTTTTAATTTAGGTGACAGAATATTCAAAATTTTGTAAGTAGTAGGCACTCAAATAATGGAAGAGTGTGCAAAGAAAAATGTCTTTATATGTTAATCCCATTTTTAGGATAGGCCCCATCTTTTAGACTTACAGGCCTCCATCTCCTTGTTTTATCCTCTCTTGGAGATAACTTACACAGATACATAAACAGAATCTTCCTCGAGAGAACTTCAGAAAATAGTTTAAAATTCTAATGGAGATACTTTTTCTTCAATGGATGATGAAATACTTCATGAAGAACTATTGAAACCTGTTTCTAAAATCACACCAGCAGGATGTGACACAAAAGCCAGGGGGCTATTTTTTAAAAATAAAATAAAAAGAAATTTTGATCTTGTTACAACATTTCTTATGAAGTCAGCAGATAAGCTGCATTTTGGAATTGTGGTTTATTTGTTTTTAGAGGGGTATGTTTTGAATGGGGATATTTACATTTTTATTTTCCATATTCTCCTTAGAACAAACTGCCTTTTTTATTGGCATTTTCACTTTCCTGTGGGTAGAACGGCCCATGACGGCAAAAAAAAAGCCCAACTTGGTTTTGCTGCTGAAAGCATTGCTATTGTCCAGCTACGGAAAACTCTTGCTGATCCCAGCTGTCATTTGGGAGCATGACTACACACCTCTGTGCCTCAGGCTCATTAAAGCATTCGTCCTCACATCAAATTTTCAGGCTATTAGAGGTATGTTTTTATTCTGCCTTCTCGGCTTTCCGTTACACAGCTTACAGCCTTGTTTCTAGAATATAGTTTTTATATAACCTGCAGGACATTGGACTTGCTCATTGCTTTAACAAGACCTAACATGTGGATGGTGCCTTGTGCTTAGCAGGTAGTCGGTATTTGTTAAATCCAACCACATAGTACTTGACAGTTTTTTTCTTTTTGTTTTTAAGATGGAGTCTCACTTTGTCGCCCACAGTAGAGTGCCTTGGCCTCATAGCTCACAGCAACCTCAAACTCTTGGGCTTAAGTGATTTTCTTGCCTCAGCCTCCCAAGTAGCTGGGACTACAGGCGTCTGCTACAATGCCTGGCTATTTTTTGGCTGTAGTTGTCATTGCTGTTTGGTAGGCCCAGGCTGGGCTCGAACCCGCCACCTCTGGTGTATATGGCTGGTGCCCTAGAGCTTGAGCCACAGGCACCGAGCCGGTACTTGACAATTTTGAAAATGTTTTCATGAGCATTACTTCTACCCTGTGAGGGTAGTCAGGCAGCCATTAGTATGTCTGTGTCATGAACCAGTTTGCGGGGTCCAGAGTCACACATCAAGCCAGGAGAGAAGGCCACATGTACCCCTCAGTGCAGGACGGTTCCTGCTGTGCCAGGACAGAGACAAGTATCCATCCCTCTGCACCTTCATTTTCCCAATATATTGTGAGAAGTGCCATTTTAAATGAACCTGTCGGCTTGGTGCCAGCCACATACAATGGACCTGGCAGGTTCGAATCCAGCCCGGGCCTGCCAAACAGCAATGACAACTACAACCAAAAATAGCCGGGCATTGTAGTGAGCACCTGTGGTCCCAGCTATTTGGGAGACTGAGGCAAGAGAATCGCTTAATCCCAAGTTGGAGGTTGCTGTGAGCTGTGATGCCACAGCACTCTACCCAGGGTGACAGCTTGAGACTCTATCTCAAAAATAAAAATTAAATGAACCTGTCACCTGGCACTTTTAAACAATGCTTGTCATTTTGCAAACTAACAGCAGGTGTATCGTTTTTTTCCTAGTCTTTTCTTTATAATCTTAGAATCTTTTTGAATCTTTTTTAATATTCATGGGAATCTGTCTCTTTGAGGAGGATCTGTTTTTGTTGTAAGCAGAGGCTCATGCACATGATGTGTGGATGGTCAGTGGGAGAAGGTGACAGCATAGATGAATAAGAATACAAATGTTCTCAGAATAGCTTTATAAATCAGTTCACACTGCCACAGAATTTACCTGCCAATATTATTTAATTAAATTCTTAAAAACTCAATTGGTGGCCGTCTTTCTTCTAGTGACCCTGAACATCAACCGCAAGCTCTCTCTGTTGGCCATCTTGAGTGGCTTACTACTAGAAAGCGCCGTGGTCTGCTTCTTCCAGAGGATGGAATGGGACGTTGGAAGTGATTGTGCCATCTACAAATCTCAGGACTTCTGAGGAGGTACTGAAAGACCTGCAGTGTCCATGCATACGGAATTAGATAGATGTCCTTGTAAGATAAGTGCCTACATAACCCATCCCACAGCCTCTAATTCCCTCTGGCTTGCACACAACTTCCTTGAGAGATTTAGTACCTAGCTCCCAGGGCCTTCCCTTTAGTTCCTTTTGTCATCCTCAGGGACATTAGCATCCACATTTTTTGTTGCATCTAGGGCCCTAACCTCACAGGTTCTCTAACACTCCTGTTACCACCCATTCCTCCTAAGAGCCTAGACTCTGACACTGACTCCTCCTCCCCAGCCATGCGCCCTTCCTCACCTCCCCTGCTTTTCATTGCTCTCTCACCTCTAGTTCCTTCACCTCTGACTTTCCTCCACTTCTGACCTGCCTTGCCTGCTTTCCAGCCATACCTGGCACCTGCAGCCAGTGTTGGGCTACGTTTTCTTAGTTTCTGGAAGCCCTCAGCTCCTGCCTTCCCCACACTGCTGTGCTGTTCGGTCTCTGTGTAGATCCCCATGGTACTTTTTTTTTTTTTTTGAGACAGAATCTCAAGCTGTCACCATGGGGAGAGTGCTGTGGCATCGCAGCTCACAGCAACCTTAAACTCTTAGGCTTAAGCGATTTTCTTGCCTCGGCCTCCTGAGCAGCGAGGACTAGAGGCGCCCGCCATAATGCCCGGCTATTTTTGTGTTGCAGTTGTCCTTTTTGCTTTAGCTGGCCCAGGCTGAATTCAAACCTGCCAGCCTTGGTGTATGTGGCCGGTGCCCTGCTGACTGAGCTACAGGCGCCACCCCCGTGGTGCTTCTTGAGCAGCCAGGCACATAGCCCCAGCCAGCCTCCTACCTCTCTGCTTTCAAGGTGACTCTGCCACCACAGGGCCTTAGTGCGATCATTCCAGCATCTTCCCGTGCTCCATGGCCCCCATGCCTGTGCTCACTGTGCTGAGAATTGACGTTGTCGCGGGTTCCAAGAGCTTTTTTCACCTTCACTTCAGATCTTCAGCTGTCCATGCTCTTCCTCCAGCCTTCCCATCTGTGCCAGCTGCTTCTCTGGGGCTGTTTCCTTCCCTCCTATCACACCCACCTGTGGATCCCAGCTTGGTGCCATGTGAGGAAGCAGGATCCTGGAGCAGTCACTGGAAGGCCGGGCTGGAGGCTGAGGAAAAGCACAGGAGCACGGGGACCCAG